TGGAAGGTACACCTTTTACTGTCTTTACAGACCACAAGGCTCTAACGAAAGCCTTATCAGCAAAACAGGATAACTACTCTCCACGTGAACTACGACATCTCGAGTTTATATCCCAGTTCACCTCCGATCTGCGACACATAAAGGGTAAAAACAATGAAGTGGCAGACGCTTTATCACGTATGCACATTGATAACATTGTATGCCCAGACATCGACTACGAACATCTCTCAAACTTACAACGAGATGACGCCGAACTCAAAAAGATCATGTCTTCTAAAACAACATCTCTAAACCTCGAGGCAATTCCTTTCGGCACGACAAAAGTTATCTGCGACACCTCTACAGGTAAATATCGACCTTTCGTTCCAATAGCTATGAGACATACAGTATTCGAGAAGTTACATAACTTGTCGCATCCTGGTGTTAGCGCTACTACCAAGCTACTAAGAGAAAGATTTATCTGGCCAAACATTAACAGCGACGTTAAGAAGTGGACACGAAATTGCTTGTCTTGTCAAAGAGTCAAAATCAACCGGCACACCAAAGCACCACTTGGTCGCTTCCCTAACCCCGACTCTAGATTTGACCATGTACATGTAGACATAGTTGGTCCACTGCCTCCTTCCAATGGTTTCAACTATATTCTAACCTGCATTGACAGATTTACTCGTTGGCCAGTAGCAGTTCCATTAATCGACGTCTCAGCTGAAACGGTAGCTAAAGCTTTAGTCGAAAACTGGATAGCCAACTTTGGTGTCCCATCAATTATCACTACAGACAGAGGTGCCCAGTTTGAAAGCCGACTGTTTGACCAACTAACTGAATTACTAGGCATTAAACGAATACGAACGACAGCGTATCATCCTAGTTCCAACGGTATGGTCGAACGATTTCATCGACAACTCAAAGCTGCGCTCGCTGCTTCTTTGACTCAAAACGATTGGTCAACCAAACTTCCACTAGTATTACTTGGTATACGAGCTACTATAAAGAAAGATATTGGCTGCTGTGTTTCCGAACTAGTCTATGGAACAACATTACGATTACCAGGAGAATTTTTCACCCCGGGTAACCAAGTTCCACACGATATGACTGGTTACGTGCATCAGCTAAAACGACACATGAACGAGCTAAAGATATCACTTCCACGTCAGCAGGAACGAGCGTCATACATCCCGTCACAACTGACAGATTGTACTCACGTCTTCGTCAGGAGAGAAGGTGTACAACGACCACTTCAACCCGCTTATGATGGCCCATTCAAAGTTCTAAACAGAAACGCGAAAGTTATCACGATAGAAAGATTGAATAAAACAGAAGCCATCAGTATCGACAGAGTCAAACCAGCGTTCCTCGACGATTTCGAAGTCAACGATAAGAACCAGCTGAACGACGTGCCAACACCTACATCCACAAAAGCTTCAACGTCGACAGAGAAGCCTGCGAAAACAACACGATCTGGTAGACGAGTCCATTGGCCTAAACGTTACGTGCAAGTCATCGAAATATAACTTACTACGAATTTTCATTTTTATTATCTTTATTCGTAATTGTCATTTGATTACTCATTTAACTGATTAATATTTTCATACATAAATCACGTCACTATTATTTTAACATCGATATTTCCTATATTATTACATTTACTCACATCTCGTATGGTATGAGGAGAATACAGCAAAATACAATCGCACCTTTTGCTCACTGAAAACCCAATTCGTCTGCAATATGATCCAGGTAGCACAGATAAACAAGCCGACAGTTGAAAGTGAAATGGCAGAGATTCTATGATGTGTACGAACTTCTTTGACTCCTTGCACTGTAAAAAATTTTAATAATAGCTACTAGACAGATCTTGCAGAGAACAAAGTCATTTAAATAACTCTTCTTCATTATCATCATCATAGTCTCTGTTCAGTGTTTATCAGAGAGTTAATTCAGAACAACCAGCCTTCGCTGTAGGGCTAAATTCTCCCACAGATTTTAGTTCTGACTATCATTGACAACGATGCAAAATAGTGTGTCACTTAATCTTATGTCGCCGTTACATATAAACGTGGTCATGGATTTTGCGCGGTATCTCAATCAAGTATTCAACATCGTACATCCCATTTCTGCAAGTGCATTACTTCAAAAGTTGCGTTACTGTACGTGAGGTCGTAGTGTTTCAAATTATCGTGGATTTTAGTTGTTTTCATATTATTTTGAAGTTTTCATTAATTTAAATTTAAAGACAGTGGCGTTAGTTACTGCTCAATTGAGCAAATATTTTATGGTGGAGATCCCTCTAAAATTCTAAGTCCAGAAACACCTAATAAAATGTTGCCTTCGAATTAGAAGATCTTCCCATTCCTTAAAATTTTAAAGTTTGCTTAAAACTCAGGGCGAATGTATTCTAGCAGAGAACTTAATTCGGGGTAATTCCGTTTTTTACCAAATCAGGGGTACAAACGACTTCTGACGTTTTGAAATTTGTTTTACGGAGTATCATAAAATTGTTCTGATACTTCCACATGTACAGGAATGTGTATTTGCAAAATAATAAATTCTAGGTTTTCAGATCTGCAGATTAATTTTGATGCTTGGCCAATACAAAACCCTAGTCCATCGTATCCTAAGGTGTATGTATATGTACGGAGGTATTACGGCGACAAGGTTATTGGTAAGTGTAGTTGCTATTAAGGCACTGATGTTAGCGGAAATTGGAAATGAACTGTACAGCTGAAACCTACGTAAGTGCCATTTAAGGTAGCAGCATAAGTGCTATGTTTAGTTAATGGAAATCCACACTTATTTGATGTGAGCTGCACGATGATACTGAGTAGGTGTCATTTGATAGTTATTCTACACTTCAGCAAGTTCTAGAATTTGGGCACGACTCCATGCTTTCAATTAAGAGGGCGAAATGAGCGTATGGTTTATATAAACATGCGCGTATTGTTTATGAAAGACATACAAGTTCGGTATTTTTACTGTTGATCAAGCTACTTTACAGTGTGTACGAAGCATCAAAGGGCTTTAAGGCGCCTTCTATCCAGTCAAAGTTTCAAAAAAGGTCTTCCTGTGCATCTAAACAAAAGTAGTTTTCTGGACGTACTCTGATAGTTATATTCGACTACATCATAATTGACAAGACAAAATCACGAATCATATTTAGGTGAGAGAAACAATTGAGAACTTCAGAGAACATCAAAAATTAATTCCATGCTCTCAAAATATATCTCCGTGCATGTGTAAATTTATCAAGGTGCTCTCAAAGCAAAGGCTTGTTGGATTAAATCAATTCAACTTACTGAAAGAAAACCGAATGTATACTGACCCGAAAAACTCATGAAGAATTTGGTTGAAAACCACATGTAACATTCTCTTTGATCACATCCATTTGTCTTCACATGTATGACTATATATTGTATTGAGACTGTATCGTTTCTTAGCTTTGCTAATAATGCAGAAGGTATCTGTAAAGGCTTCTCAACAACCAGAAACTAAGATATATTTTCCACTTCTAGGGATCGTAACTTACAATTTACTGTCTAAGTAAAGAAAAATCCAAGACCTTTCGTTCTTGTTTATCTGGAGATGAGCATAAATATAGGTTATTTTATTTGTTTGTGTCATAATTTTTGTGACCAAAGTCAAATAGGAATTGATAAATATCCTGGGAGAATGCAGTATCTGGCAGATAGTGGAAACTTGTATGCGTGACTCTTAAGCGTCATATTTGTCCTGTCATTTTATCTATATATCTTTTGAAACCTGTGACCTTATTTTGGTTATATAAATTGAAGTTTAGGAGTGGAAAAGATTGATTCCCTATGTGAAAATATCTGCTAAGATCCCCCATTGACCGATGTTTATTTTGCACCAGCCATCAGATTTCAATTGAATATGGGATGATCTTTGTTTCGATTTACTAAAATGCCTAACAAGCCTCAACTAAACCGTCGATAACATTGAACTAGGTAGTTTTACGCGTCAGGCAACAAATTTCTGACCACCTTAGTCAGTTTTTAGTCCGAAGCTTACAAAAGTTGATTATTTGAGTGCTAATAAAGATATATTCATTCCTACGATGTGTATATACGCATTTCACTTCATAGGCCGGACAAATATAGCACTGGTCTGTATTCATTTCTGAACCGTTGAACAAAGACAACAATATATATGTTTAATTTTATTTTCGCCGAAAGGCGGATACTGTGTAACGTAAATGTAAATGAAATTTGTGGATAAATTAAATAGGTATTAAAACCTCAATGGCATCAGGTAATTTATCTTCCTTAACAGAGGTGCAAAAGTACAGTTATGTGGATATATTTATGTAACCCTAATTACAGACCTAAGTTTCTTTGTTTATTCATAACTTGGAAATTTGGTTTAAACACTGTTTTAATTATGCATCATGAAACTTTTTGAAATATATGAACTTAAAATATCCAGTAGTAGTTATGGTTAACCAAAAATGGGTCCGCGGTTCACTTGTACAATCCTGACCAACCATGCAGAGAGTGTGATTTCGATTCTCAGCCGATGCACATTTGAATCTTGTCTAGTGTAGTAGCTGGTAGTAAGGCCGGAAAGGAGAGGAGTTTCAGCATAAGGCCAGGAACTGTCACCCGTAAACACGATATCACAGCTACGGAGTATGTGGTATCATGTAAGTTTCCATATTAAAGCTATTCTTCATGCCAGCAGTGATTATATATGTGGCATTTCAAAATTGGGACACGCTTTTGTATCCAATTTAAAGACAGGATTAAAGCAATTCTGTTTACCGCAGACCTAAATAAACACTTTTAAATATGGTTTTGAATGGTAACGAATATAGTCTATAAAATGTCTGTTGCTTGGTTACGCATAAACATTTTTTGTACAAAAATGTTAGAAATTATAACCTTCCGTTGTACCATATTTCTTCATTCCATTTTCAGAGTAGTAAGACAATGTCTCTACTGAAAGGAGTTCATCACATTCGATTCGCAACTAAAAACATATGGCATATGTATGATACCTTCACACAAGGTTTTGGTTTCAAATTCCACTGTTTATCTAAACAGGGTCAAGGACTGAATCTAGTATTAAAAAATGGTCCAACAGTAATGATGCTTAGTGAAACCCAAAAACCAATCAATCCCTACTATTCATTTAAATGTCACTCAGAACTGTCTAACTGGCGTACAGAACATGATGGACCATTTGATATTGCAGTAGAGGTAGGGAATGTCTATGAAGTGTGTGAAAGAGTTTCTCAACTACTTGGTAGTCAAGATGTCCTGTTAGAGCCAACCACTTATACTGATTATCATGGAAAAGTTATTATAGGAGTAATAAAATCGTGTGTTGGAAATTTACTTCATACTGTTATTGATTCATCACACTATAAAGGTTTATTTTTACCTGGTTACACTATACCTGAACTCGGTGAATACACTGATTTACAGAAAATACTGTATAAACCCAGACAGAATTCTAAACTTTCTGTAAAATGTATTGATCATATAGCGTTGGTTGGTGATTGTGGATATTCAGATTATTTTATTCGATGGTATGAAGCAGTATTTGGAACAAGGCGTATGTTTGTTAACTTGTAAGTTGATTATCGATTTAATATTGATTATGTATAAATACTATTCATAGATATGAGGATGAATCACAAGGATTTGTGGTGAAGTTTAAAAATACTGGAATGAAATTAAAAGCTGTCTGTCATCATAAGAGTTCATCTGAACAACAAACTGATTTTAATGATACGTGTAAATTTGTTTTCGTTGAACCTATAGAAAATTCAGGTAAGCTAAGGAAAATAAATTACATTGTAACTTTGATAAATCCTAACCTTTTGTGTTCTAGATGGTGTACATTTATCTTGTTACCTTATGAGTTAACCTAGACGCATAGAATAACATTTATTTATGTCTCATATTCTCGACACTAATGCGTTTCTTCTGAAGTTATTTAGGGGAATATGCTCTGAAACCAGCGCTTACTTGTGTAGATAGATGAGTCCTCCGTTCTATGTATGTGTCCCTACGTACATTCCAATTGGTAAATACAGTGGGATTTGACATCTTTTGATGTAAACTTTTTATTCACTAATGTGCCTTTACTTAACACAATCGACATTTTGTGTGATTACACTAAATTTCCACACATAACCTTTTCATCCCGTTCCCTATACCTTTTTTTAAGGGATTTATAACTTCTATGTACTAGCAATGTTTGGTTAACATTTGAAGGAGATTGTTTCCATCAGGTTGGTGGCATTGCTATGGGAAGTCCGTTAGGGTCCCTTTTAGCAGATATCTATATATTGTACATTGAGAGTTTATTGGTGGATTTAATCGAAAATGTGCCACTCTATAGAAGGTATGTAGACGACGTTGCAATCATAAGTGATAAGCCTCGTTCTGCCACCTCAATTTTAAATCATACAGTTGGTGTGATTCAACAGTGTAGTGACATTTTCTTCTCCTCTTTGAAATACAATTCTATATTTATCTATGGTTTTACTGAACAAACCACTCCAAGATGCAATTTGTGATTAATTAAAGGGAAATGTTTTCACCGTATATATTTTTGTTCACTTTCATATTCCTCCTCTTCTTCGTGGTCTTCTTCTTATCCTTTTTCTCCTTATAGATCCGAATCAAGTTACCCGATTCTTACAAGCTAATTCAGGACCAGGCCTTCAGCATATGGCATTCGCTGTTAACAATATAACAGATATGACTACTGAATGCCATCAGAATGGTGTGAAATTTGTCAATCCTCCAGACACATACTATGATATGGTAAGTTTATTTGTGTGTTATCGTTAGTAAATAGTTTAAATTCACAAATGAATGAGTTGACAGTGATTAACTGAATGACTGATTAAACGACTAACTGAGTTTCAGCGTAGAAGTTGGCACACAGAAGCGCAGCACATCAAGTTATCACACTCCATTTAGCTAGCACACGAAGATGGAGAGAAGAAAGAAGTATTAGGGAGAAAGAAAGGATAGTAATATGAAAGAACGTGAGGATTTACTGGATCTGAGGGTTTACAAAATAGTGAATGTACCTGCTTCATTAAAAATGATTTTGAACCATATAGCCAACAGTCTTCAAACGTTGGTTCTTAGTATCCCGTGGATCCCACACACAAGGTGGTCTACACCTTCCTATATGACTGGCTCAAACCAACTGTCAAAGACTTCATAGATTGATGACAGATCCTTATTTGACTACCTCTAAATCTATTCCATTCTATGTCAGCTAACGATGTTCGACACGGAAGATGGTGCCTTGATATGCGTAACACATGTCCTAGCCATCTCCACCGATTTAACATCTCAACCCCATCGATTGGCTTCTTTTCCTTACCTAGCACTATATGCCTAATCTCACTATTTACTCACCAAATTATATCACTTAAGATGGAGGGTAAAATCCAAACATCTGTGGTCAAAGACAGCTAGTTTTCTTCATATTTTCCAGTTTCAATGGCTGTGTCTCACAGTCATACAGAAGGACAGACTGGACTGTTGTGCCATGCACATATTCTTTAAGTGACAGTCGAATATTGCGTTCACGCAAGAGATGACTTAAGTTAACGAATACCAAATGAACCTTTAAAAAGGCTGGAAAAAATATATGGAGTAGTTCGGTAGTTAAAGCGCTTATCTCCAAGCAATGTTGAAATGTTGACCTCATGAGAAGAAACTAAATCCTTACTAAAGAAGTTGTTAGGTGGCTGAGAATTCTCTACAGGCAAAGTTCAACAATTTCCACCTCTTCTAATAGGACTAAATGTGATTAGCCTGTAACAGGTACTTCTGTGAAGAAGAAAAGGCGGATTAGGCTCGAAGGCAGTGTTTATTAGAACAAACGTATTGTAGGTACATAAATTTGGTATACCATATTCTCGGCGCTGTATTTGCACATCATTTGCGAATTGGTCGAATATCACGCACTACATTCGATAACTTATTGGATTCTGCACGGTGTTTGTAACTTTCTTCTCACAGTTCTCTTCTTCGATTGCCTTTTTCTAGTGTCTAAAACACAGTGTTACTTTTCTGAATTTATTTGCCGATATACTACTTATATCTGATTATAAGTAGCACTCATCACACTTTTAAGCTTTATGGCCATCCAAAACTAATCATTTTCCTATTTTAAAAATCACACTAGGTGGGCACCTAGGAATCACCACACTCGCTGCATCATCTTTATATATCTTCTGCTGACATGATAGTCAACCGAAGCATTCAGTACTTTGATATAAGAGTGAAACTCGTTGCGGCAGTCAGTGATCTTATCGTGTGCAGTACTAGGCAGGCAGTGTATTTGTTCTTCTCGAACGATAATTTGAGATTTTGTCTAACAAAGATTATGGTATTCTATAATTCATTTGTTCATTAGATATATCACACAGTTGAACAGTATTATTTAATAGATAAGGTTTCGAAAGCAACTGATTTGATTATGAGCAATAATTTAAAGATTCCCATGGTGGTAATTATGGAACACGATTTAATCAAGCAAGTATTTTCGGTAAATTCCCATCAGAATTTACATTTACATAAAGAAATATTAGTCATTATTTATTTTTTTAACTATTTTATTCATTTACGTTCCTAGTGGAACACAGGGCTTAAGGCTAGAGGCTTGAAGTTTCGGTAGCACTGGTGATCATTTTTACAGGATGGCGTTGCCAGCTTCATGCCCAACTTTCCCTCTTTACCACTCTTATTACTGGCTTAGCGAGGTAAAAACGTGCGTCGGTGGCCGGGAATCGAACCCCGAACCACCTGAGGCGTGGATGGGGAGTATTCTACCGCTGTGCTACCGATGCTGACTAACTTGTAGAATACTATTATTATTATTATTCCACTGGATTTCAAGTGGGCCATAAGGCTTCAGAAATACATCTCCACTCCACTCTGTTCTTGAAAATCTTTTTTTAGCTGGCACTACGATTGCCTACAAGCTTTCATTTCCTCCTCACAAGACCTCGTACATGTCATTCTCAGACACCGAAGTAGTCTTCTCCCATTCGGGTTTCAATCAAAGGCCTAGAGCATGATGTCACTCAACCTTCTTCTTAGTCTGTGTCCAATCCGTCTCCATTTCCTTCGGTAAATTTGTTGAGCAATGAGATCTGCCTGGTTTCGTTCCCAAAGTTCCTTGTTGATAATCCTTTTTCAGACATATTTCTTTGTGATTTGTAGTTCCTTAGTCATCTCTCCTGGCGATCTTGAACGTGGTTCGTTGCTCTTATCGGTTTTCACACCCTCTAGTCTACTTGTATTTTCATTGATTGTTTCCTTGAATTGAAGTTTAATTTTTGTGCATAAGATTTTCCTCGTATGGATTGGTAAATTTTATCAATGTCAATGTGCCTGGTAGCTGCCGAGTCATTGGAGTACCAGGCTCCTAAAAATTCCCTGGTGTTCTTGGTGTTTCCTCTTCCTAATATTTGAATGTTGTCACAGTCGAATTGATGTCCGTGGTTGTTTGTGTGCAGTGATATGACGGAGTGGATATTATTTATTTTGACGGTTAGTTTATGTTCACGGATACGATGACGAAGACGACATCCTCTTTGGCCAGTGAAGTGTTTTGTCGTGGTCGTTACAATTTATTTTGTGGATGATGTTGGTTTTATCTTCTTTCGCTGTTGAGTCTTTTGGTTGACATAGAGCTGAGTGTGAAGTGATTTTGTTGGTAAGTATGATAAAATTTACCAATCCATACAAGGAAAATCTTGTGCACAAAAAATTACACTTCAAGTTAAAGAAACAATCAATGAAAATACAAGTATACTAGAGGATGTGAAAACCGACAAGAGCAATGAACCACGTTCAAGATCGCTAGGACAGATGACTAATAAACTCGTGGAGAAATGTAAAAGCTCACTTCAACAAAGCAAAGTATGCGCTGAAGATGTTGCCTAGTAGGGCAAGGAGAGCTTCGCAAATAAAACATCCAGCCCAGAGAATATAACTACATCAAAATCATCAACCTGAGCTACAAATCTCCTTCCATTATATACAATATTTCGCTTATATCACTCCTTTCCAATTAATTTATGAAATTGTATATTTATATCTACTGAAAAGTGAAACAACTTTCTTTATATGCTAGTTGGTTAAGTTCCATCCGGCTGAACCTCGCGACTCTCGTGCTTCTCTGGCCTAGTGGGTAAGCCTTTAGTGTTTGATACGATAGGTGTTGGGTTGAAGTCCCAGAGGAAATGCCAATCAGGTAAGCAAGCACATCAAGCGGATAAGCTGCTGGTGGAAAGAAATATATCCATCCTGGATTCCATTGCTAGCTACTATCAACTGAACACTTTCTTCAAAGGTGTGTCACTTTTAAATTCAGGTGGACTAATCATGGTTTGCAGTAGATCTCTGCGATAAATGATAACCTCTTTCTGAAAACTTTTCACTCCCTCTTTGAATATTATCAGCTAAAAATGTGCGATTATGACATAAAGTAATGATTCATTTTTTTGTGCATAAAACTTTGCATTGCCTTATAGCTATCACAACGTATTAATCTGAAACAATGTCATTTGGATTTAGAAGAACTTCGAAAATCTGGAGTACTTGTTGATAAAGAATTAGACATTCATGGGAATCAAATTGGGTAAGTATGTGTGTGTGTGTGTGACTTAAAATCCTCATTGCTTTCCATAATGGACAAGTTTATTTTAATATATCACACAATGATGATTCAGTATTGACAACTGGATGACAAGGTTTCGAGCATAAATTATTGTTGCTCATAATCATATCACAATTTAGTCACACGGTTTCACAATTTGTCTTATAAGTATATTTTCTCCCTTTCTGGCTGTTTCTCTTTCTTTTCCTTGTTGTCTATGACCACTTTCCATATTTCCTGTATAGGCGGCGTTGTGTCATTCCGATTGCATGTATGTGAGGGTCTTGAAAATGACAAAAATAATATAGAATTCAAAGCTTCTGTAGTACTGCCGTACAAAGAAAGAACACGTCAAAAGCCTTAAGTAGGATTCTCAGTGAGGCTGAAATTAGTTTAGCACTTAAACCAACCAACCAACCCTCTCTCTCTGAGATAAATGATTCAGAAAAGTAATATAATTTACCACATACCATGTGATGCTGACTGTGTGGTCAATTACATAGGTCAGTCAAACTAGTACATCTGTGTCAGAAAGTAGAAATTTAGGTAGACCTAGAATAATTGACCTTGCTAAGTGAAATAACCTAGAAGAAAGCTCAGTCATTGCACTGCACTGCATTCACCTGCATGTGATTCCAAAATAGGTTGTGTGGGACAGGGTAAGAGTATTTAAAAGTAATATAGTTGGGTGAAGAACGGGAAAGGTTAATCACTGCATCTTTGTTTATCGATTCAACACTGCAGACGTGCAATCGGAATGATGCAACGTCGCCTATACTGGAGATATGGAAAGTGGTCATAGACAACAAGGAGAAGAGGGAGAAAGAGCCAGAAAGCAAGAAAATATACGTATAAGACAAATTGTGAAGCCGTGTGACTAAATTGTGATATGATTATGAGCAACAATAATTGTGCGTCGGTGGCACAGTGGTTAGGACTCTCGCCGATCATGCACATGGTCCGAAGTTCGACCACCTGCTGACTAACACCTGATATCTATGTTTGGCCTGAAAAATTTGGGCTACCGATATCCATGCTGAAAATTCCATACTTGTACCAAAAATACAGTGTGGAATCTGTTATGTACTGGTCGAGAATTTAATAGTCCTGACGCAAGAAAGACGGAAATCAGAAGACCACTAGGTTTGCGATGATACTTCTATTTTCCAAACACAAAGAGAATCAAAATGTCACACAAGAGTGTGAGAGCAATTTAGTGTGAATGTCCAAACAAGTGTGTGAGCGAATATTCAAAATGAACAAATCAATAGACAGTCTTAACATGATTGGCTAATTATAATGGAATATCGATCCATATATACCTAGGAAATATAACAGACTGTCAAACAAACACACATATGATATGGATACATATCACCAAGAACAGACTGTCAAACAAAACACACATATTATATGGGTACATATCAGAATCAAGCTGTAATCAAAAATAAAATAAAAATAAAATAATTTATGCTCGAAACCTTGTCATCCAGCTGTTAATACTGATCTAATATGGAACTCAGCGCTTTCCCTTTTTTCTCTCTGCGCAACTGTTTTGTTAACATTTTATAGGTTTTCCAACCAGATTCCAGCCATTTAATATTTATCCGATAATTGAGAAATATAAACAATCTATGCAAATAAAAGTCTAAGAACATTAACTCGAATAACCTCATTAGGATAACAATGCATCCGACGCATTCATATGCGTTTGTAAATACACATCTTTTAAACTTTATCTCCAGGGATTTGTTTGGCTGTAGGTTATACAGCCATTAAAGACCAGTAGGGAGTACCGAACAGCTGTTTCGTCACAGTTTGAGGCTCTTCATCGGTAATTACGCATTCAGTTAGATGACTAACGGGCTCTCTTAGTAACCTGAAGGGCCTGGGTTCGGTCTTTGGTGAGATCATGGGTAAGTTCTACTGAAGAGTCCCAAAGTAGCACGAAACAGATGTCCAGTACTCTTTGATTTCCAATAGTTCCATCATAAATACGATTTTATTTTGATTAATCATACAGTGCCCAAGTTTTATACTTATTTTCAATGGTTCTTTAACATAAAATGTCACTTAATGACCTAATTTGAGAATTCAACTTAATGTTAGAGACCGATCGTTGCAATCCTAATGTAAGCCAGATTTTCATTGCACCCATGGTTATCACCCATTACAAAACTATCTGAATTATAGTTAAAATTGGTTATTCCTTTTATCTGACAAGTAGCATCTGAATTGTCTATAAAATAGTGCATCAAAATAATTTCTAAGCGGTGAAAACCCAGAAAAAACTCAGGAATTTTAGTAGAGTGCTATCGATTAAAAAGATTAATGATAGGCATAGGTTTTTGGCCAGGGTGGATAATTTTGACGTGGTATTGTATTCTCTGAGTTGGTTGATTTAATTGCGAAGCTTTTCTCGTCCCTGTAAACTACATAGCTTCAACACAGGTTTTAGTATGAAATGAACTTATTTGAATTCTCCATTAGTGATGGTATAATTGTATCTCCTGGTTAGACAACCTTTGTTGCGATTGGTTGTTAACTGATGTCTCTATTGATTATTTTTTTAATTTTTTATTTAATTATTTATTTTTGATTTACAGCTTGATTCCACACTGTATTTTCGGTACAAGTATGGAATTTCCAGCATGGATATCGGTAGCCCAAATTTTGCAGGTCGACGATAGATATCAGGTGTGTGCCGGCAGGGGATCGAACCTCGGACCATGTGCATGGTCGGCGGGAGTCCTAACCACTGTTTGTGCCACCGACGCACAATATGTGTACGAAGAGCTAGGCTATAACAGTTCAGTGACCTCCGGGTAGTGAACTGACGCCTCCTTTCGAATTTGAACCACTACTCTATTTTGATTGATTTGGAATTCGAACTTTCTTGTCGTGTGATTTATACTTTATAAGTTGGTAAATTTGATCTATAATAATTTGTCTGCTAATTGCTAATTCACTTGAGTAATAGGCTTCTAGGAATTCCTTGACTGCACTTTTAGTGGTGTTTCCTTTATTCAAAATGTCGACATTATCCCAATCGAATTGATGTCGGTGGTTGTCTACATGCATCGATGTGAAAGAATGCATGCACAATCACCTGACTGGATATTGTGCAAACCGAATGATCCACCCAACAGAAAAAGGAGATAAAATTAATACCGTCTACAAGATAAATTGCATGTATGAACTGTAACAGACATTACATCGGTCAAAGTGGGCGTCATCTTCGAATCCAAATCCAAGAACACAAATTAGCTGTAAAAAAACATGATATAAATTCTTTCGTATCAATACATATGGATAATTCTGGACATCAATTCGATTGGGATAACGTCGACATTTTGAATAGAGGAAACACCACTAAAAGTGCAGTCAAGGAATTCCTAGAAGCCTATTACTCAAGTGAATTAGCAATTAGCAGACAAATTATTATAGATCAAATTGACCAACTTATAAGGTATAAATCACACGACAAAAAAGTTCAAATTCCAAACCAATCAAAATAATCAATAGAGACGTCAATCATGGTAAAGGTTGTCTGTCAGGAGATACAATTATATCATCATTCATGGAGAGAGAATTCAAGCAAGTTCAGTTCATATTAAGGCTTACACTGAAGATGTTGTCTAGAACGGGGACAACGAAAGCTTTACAATTAAATCAGCCAGCTCAGAGAACACAACTAAAAAGCAGAAACTTGAATTTTGATTTAGCAAAATATGAAATCAATTAAGGATAAAGTGCAATCCAGTTTATATTACAAATAGAGAAAATCTTTTTAATTCATTGAAAGTGTGATTGCATTTAGTTGAATGGAAGAAAAATTTCATCAATTTTTAACTGATTAAACTCTCAAAACTTTTCTTTTTTGGTATATTCTGTTTATTGATTTACTTGAAATAACAGCTGAAATATTCGATTCTCATCCTATCTTAATTTCATTAGCTTTCTTTAGAATTTTTATTCCTTCACATTCCGAGTGAAACATTGGCTTAAAAGTAAAGCTTGAAGTTTATTTTTACGGGATAAGGTTGCTAGCCTCATTCTCAACCTTCCCTCCTTACTGATTTAGAGAGGTTTAGGGGTGTGGTGGCCGGGGATCGAACCCCCCCCTCAAAACTACATGCATATTTGGCAAGCATTCTACCGCCGTACCACCGACGCTCTCATCCTATCTGTCAAAGTTTATTCATTCAGGTAGTTAGGGCATCATTAACACACTTGTAATAGGTATTGTTGAGTACAATAATATTCATCCTTAGAACCAAGGGAATTGAAGTAAACAGTTGTTTTCAATGACGTTTTCATTAGACTCTACAATTATAAACAATTATGATTACATGATTAAAACAATAACAAATACTGAAGATTTTAAGCAGCATTTTAATGGATAGAAAGAAATTCTAGCAGCCCAATGATTTAAAAAGGCTGCCAGATTAGAATCATTATATTATTATTATTATTATCAAAAACTGTATTGTGGTATATGTATGGCGTGTGCTACTGATAAAATTTATCAGTATATATATATATATATATATATATATATATATATATATATATATATATATATATAAAGAGGTGTTCATTGGCATAAAAACATCAGATACCACGGATATAGATTTGATGTCAGAGAAAGCGAACGATACAGCGTTTTGGAGATAAATGGGACACATGAAAGGAACACACAAAGAAACACAATATAAAGGAAAGCCAGAAGTAGCACAACACGGAAGATCTGTGCAAATGGTGTGTTTAAGATGTTTAAGGTGTACATATAATTTACCAAGTCTCTCGTCTTCTACCGTTTCAGAAGTACAGAATGAAATATCAGACAGTTTAAAAAACATTAAATAAGTTTATTTGATATAACGCACAGAGGTGACATTTTGAGCACAATTAATTGCTTATAATCATATCATAATTTACCGCAATATATATATATATTTTCACTCCACTCCTGTTATTTATTCCAATTTTCCGTATTTCTGATGTAGCCATTGTGTCATTTCGATTGCACATGTTGATTGATGTTGATTCGATGAACAAAGATTGGGTGATTAATTTCCCCCCGCTCTCTCTCTTACTCCACCTAAATATATATAATTATTTCACAATACCTTCACCATATACCCTCCTGTTGTGTGATTACGTGCAAATGAATGCATTGCACTGTTCAAGCTCTTTTCCAAATTATTTAATTTAGCAGGATCATTAATTCTAGATTCGGCTAAATTCCAATTTTCTGATAGTATAACTAACCTCGACCTACTAGTTTTCTAATTATGAAATTAGACTACACGAAAGTGCTCAAAATTCTACTCTTATACTAAGCAGTTTTGATTATCATTTAAATGCAAATGGAATGCATGATCAATAAGAAAATAGTGTGAAATGAGATTATGTTGTTGAATGATTGACTTGTGAGGATCTAATCAATAAAACCTACCGATTTCATGAATGAGTTCTAATCAGTGGCATAAGAGAAAATGTGGATATCACATTAGAGTAAATCGACAAACAGAGCACGCTGGATGTAAGTTCAAGTGATGACAAATAGTGTTAGTAATGTTGACACAGTAATGCTATAAAGTGTTAGTTTGCAGGAATTTGATTGGTTACAGTTTCGATCACAAGTTAACATTAGTTAGAGAACTATTGGAAAACCAACCAGGAGAAGTAGTGGACAGCCAACTGTTTCGCCCTAGTTCGGGAATCTTCAGTACTATTCACCCACTGCCAGGGTTCAAATCCAGGGACAAGACGAGCTCGTAAACGTTTCAGCCACTATGACCCAGTTCAATAGCATATAAATTCTAGCTTCGGCCAGTTGGTGATATTATATATATATATATATATATATATATATATATATGCACAGTATTCTTGAATAGTCGTCATTAACAATATTGATGTTTAAAAAAAATAATGTCGATTTGTTAAGATCAGTGGAAAATGCACAAGTTATAATAAGCATAAAATTGTCATACTAAGTAGAATATCAAATAAAATTAAGGAAATTTAGACAACAAATTAAGGATCATTTGAGTGGTCACTAATTAACTAGTATTATTTGTCTAATCTTTCGTTAGGTGCAGACTGAATTCTACAACAGTCAAGTTTGCAATGTGGTTACCACGCCACTAGGTGGCTTACCATCACGATTCTCTATGCATTATTGATATCAGATGGTTGGGGGCAATCGACAGGAAGCCATAAATGACCACATGTCTTGTGCTAGTTGGTGCTTGTCTGTCAAGAAAAAGATATATATATCTGCAACCTTGAAAGGAGCCCATGTCTCTTCCAATACAGTTCTAGAGGAGATCAGTCACTGATAACGTCTCTGCCTGAAGCATTGGGTGATGTGGGTTCGAATCTCAGAAGGGAATTGAATTCCTTCAAGGTTGTAGGCACGCCTTGCTGACTGGCAAATGGCAACAAGCACGAAACCCATGTTCAAGACTTCCTGCTGATTGCCTCCCATTGCGCTGAGAGCTGTCTGCTAGCCAAAATTGTAGACACCAGTCAACGTCAATGTTTACATCCCGAATCGGGGTCACGAGATAAAACAATAACAAAGCCTAACCTTGAGGAGCTCATCAACCAATCACAGCAGACTTAACGTGTTCAAATACGATTCTCAGACATATGACTTAACTTTCTGAGAAACGATCACAAGCAGAACAGAATAACCTTCAGCAAGAAAACAATCAATCAGAAGACTTTGCTTCTCCGCTGACAATAGTGTACATAAAAATCCATGAATATCTCTTGATTTTTTGAATAAACGATCGTTACATCATTATGTAATACCAAATTAAAGATCCTGAAAACCTAGATGGCCAAGGTAAGGAAAGTGTAACAGACCAGCTCATGAGGTAAAATTAAGATTATTCGGTCGTTATACCGTAGATAACCTTGAAAGCCTTGTTAAAATCAATCTTCGTTTATCCCTTGCTTAACCACACAGAAGATAATGTTTTGGAAGCCGACGATAAACCCGCTTAATTGTACACCCCACCCCACCCTTATATAACTAGCTTCATAGGAACAGTCAAATTGATAGATACACATAGAAGAGACAAAATTAAGTCTTCCAACTCATATAATTTTTTAAAAATGTAAATACCGAATTCGTATTTTTATCTCAGCATATTGTACATGCTAACTGAATTTAATCCCCCCTCACCCACATCTATCTGTTTACCTATTTAGAACATTGTTACAAATATTTACAGAACCATTATTTGAAAAAAATGGTTTCTTTATGGAGTTGATTGAACGTCGTAATCAATCGATTGGTTTTGGAGAGAATAATATTAATGCTTTATGGCAAGCTGTAGAAATATCACAAATGTTAAAAAATCGTCTAGTCAATCGTTTACCATCCAGTTAAATCCTTGTCATTCATTATTCGATTTGTGCGTGTGTGTGTGAGTGGGTGCGTGGACGTGAGTGTATTTAATTCATGATCCTCAAGTATGTTTTACTATTCATCCCATTTGGATTTTCCATTTTCACGTGTAAGTTTTCTCTTTTCTATACAAAGATGGTAGCAATTTGTATAACACAATTCATTGAGTACTATTCATAAGAGGTGTAACATATTGTACATACTTGAAATTATTGTCCTTCTAATTCAAATGAATGAAAATATTTTTAAAACTTGTAATCTTTAACATACCTAGTGAAAAATGCACTAAAAGACGAACATAAATATGTATAAAATATCTATTATATAATACTACCTGGTTTTATATTGTAACTAGGATGTGGGAACACTATTTGTTTGTGTGTGTGTGTGTGTGAACTATCAAAATCAGATAGATAAATACATAAATTTTTATTGTGAAGTGATTCTTTGTGTGTTATTCATGCAGTTTACCACGGGGGAATGGGGGTGAGCGAGCGAGAGAGAGACAACACACTTGGAATTTTCAAGTATTGGTTTTTGTAGGGATTTTATTTGTTTGATTGGTTGTAGGATTTCATCTCATGAGGTGACATCAGTTAGAGAACCATTGGAGAACCAGCTGGGGGAGTATTGGACAGCTGTTTTGTCTGCCTAGTTTTGGACTCGTCATCAGTACGCATCCACCGCCAGGGTTCGAACCCAGGACCTTCTGGTTACGAGGCTAGAGAGCACGTAGACTATTAAGCCGCTAGGACCCGATCCAATGCACAGTCCATGAATTCTAACTTTTACCAATCCATGACATAGGGTGACCACTTCACAATGTCTTCTTTGATGAATTAATGCCTCACCTTCAACCTGCTGCACGGTTCTGGTCACAGCTTCCCACTAGAATCCCAGGTTAACTGCTGGAATAGGGCCAGTCGCTAGTGAGAATCAGATAAATTTTCAAGTATTAGTTTGTAGGGATTTCGTTTTTGACTGATTGGTTGGAGAATTTCATCATGAATTGACATCCGTTAGAGAATATTGAAAAACCTAAGAGTGTAACATACTGAATGGTCGTCCCAAACTGGGACGAAACTGCTATCCGGTACTCTCAGGTGGTTTTCCGATGGTTCTCTAACTGATGTCAGTTCATGATGAGATCCTCCAACCAATCACACTTGGAACTATCATTCCGTTATGTTTCGAGTGGAATATAGGGCTTCAACTGCACATCTCCATTTTATCCTGTTTTCTACAATTCTTTTTAGTTGACTTCATCATTGCCTATACGCCTTTTATTTCCTCCTGATCACATGATCTCCTTCGTGTCACTGTTGGATACAAGCTCAACTCGTCGTTGTTTCCGGTTCGATTTCCACTTGAAGGGCTGCCCCATCTATGGTGTCGTTCAATGGTCTCTTCAGTGTGTATGTGTGTGTGTCTAATCTATCTCCATTTTCTTCTGCATATTTCGTTGGGCAGTAGGCTGGTGAGTGAGTCTGTTATTTTGACTGGCGTCATTGTCTAAGATATACTTACCGGCAATTGGAGATGTGTCTGGGATGGGAGAAGTAGGCGCCGAGCATAAACAATCTTTCAATAGAGATGGAAAGCATGGTTATACAATCGTCTGTGTTTTCCCAGTTAATTTTATAATAGGCCTAGCAATTTGTTTTAGACTAGTATCTCAAAAATTGACAATAATATGAGGCTAATCTTGAGGAAATCGTGTTGTAACTCATTTGCAGAATTCGGTATGGGCTACTCAATAACGACTATAGCTTTTTCTGAGTCGCTTTCTATGCTGTCTACTCTGGCTACATCGTGTCTCAGGAATGTGACTTCCATTCTTAATAGACGACATTTAGTGGATAATACGTTGAATCTGACCTCCTTCAATTGCCCCAAAAGCATCCCTAGTCTTTCCATGTATTCTTCGATAGTATGACTGAACACTATGATATCATTTAAATATACCATACAGGTTATTGTCAGAGTTAGAAGACCAAAACAATTGTATGCATAGAATGTGGTTAAATTACTCTGTTGATAAAAGAATAGAACTTGTGCACTGTGGTAGAGTATAACTCCATTATGGATAAGATTTTATTTTGACAAATCACACACTGTGATTGGTCTACCGAGGGAGAGGGCTCTCGGGTGGTTGCGCCACAGAATGATCCTGCATGCCGGTTTCGTCTAGCAAGAGGCAGGGATGGGTGTGTTTATTTCTCCTGAAAACCAATACCCAGTTAATGGGTGTATCACGGTGTGAATTTTTGCGTCAGTGGCATAGCGGTTAAGACGCTCGCCGACCATGCACATGGTCCGGGGTTTGATCCCCGGTTACCGACGCACTCCTTTACCTCGCTAAGCCAGAAGTAATGCTGGTAAAGAGGAAAGTTTGGGCATGAGGCTAGCAACCCCATCCTGTAAAAATAAACACTGCTACAGAAACTTCAAGGTACTAGCTTGAGGCCCTATGTTCCACTGGGGAACATGAAGGAAAGAAAAAAATCACTTTGATACAGTAATATTTACTGATGATGTTTCGAGCACAATTTATTACTGACTAAATATTACTGTATAAAACCCTGAGACTTTATCAAATTAAATTTTGCCCACAACAGAAATTTATACTCTGTTGATACTCTAATCTAAAACTGAGAGCTATTTTTTATCACATATGAGAGGAAGGTATCCTCTGTAACACTTTTATGCAGTTTTTATGCATTTTTCCCCATAAATATATGTATTCCATACACAGAAATGCCTCCTTCAGGTGGATTGGGGCGTTTGAGGTCACTCGCTCATTGGTAGTTAGTGGTGCTTAAAGTTTAACTTTGCCATTTTGTTTTATTCCAAAACAGTACTAATCGATACATAATGGAATTTTCAGCATTTGGTGCAATATTGCACCTAATTTTATCGAATAACATTAAAATAGTCATAAAATTAATGTTACAGGATTGGTAATTACAGTTCTAATCTGGTATTTGCAGTGACAGTGAAGTCATATGTATACAAAAGGAATTGAAAATAATAATAACGTTAGTAGCTAAAATTGTCAGTTAATTGTGTCACCATATATTACATAATAGGAGATAATAAAAGAGCCGATTATTTTGCTAGCAACACAGTAATCCATAAGTTTCGCGCTTAATATTGTCTCTATCGCATAGAACGCAGGAGGGTCAAGTAGGGTATTGTTGAGTTCCTATACTTGCTAGGACGAGCATATTATCTTATGTACTGAATTCTAGTTCTACCAGATGAGATACAAGGGAAGAGTTGAGAACAGAGCGGTTGTTGAGCGTTAAACAATGTAGATGTAAACCATTTCTCGCATGAGTTTAGATGTCTGTCAGCTAATGCAGTGACAAGCTGACTAAGTTGCACACTCACTTGCTCTACTGACAACTTTAGATACCCACCCTTCACAATATGGCATAGTCCAGGAAAGACCAAAAGGTAGCAGTAAAGTACAACGGGTAAGATATAAGAGTTAACAAATTGTAAAAATAGAGTTTCCGTGATTCCAGATTCTTTTAGCTTCTTAATGTAGTAGCTTAGATGGAACATCTTTTTGGAGATCGATAACATATGGGATGACCAAGTAAGGTCAGAGGATAGAACTATCCCAAGATATATGTGTTAGACCTAGTTTCTATCACAGTCCCCTCTATGCTACAATTATTTTGTGTACTAACCAGTCGTTGTGTGGTGAGTGCAGGATGCTAGTCAATTGGTAGACATTAATCGACGCTGGTTGGTAGACATTAATCTAGGCTGATTCAACAACCAATCACAGCAGACTTAAACGTGGGCAAATATGATTCGCAGATAAATGGCTCTACTTTCCGAGAAATATCGAAAACAACCAATCAGAAGACTGTGTTTGTCTGCTTAACTTCCGAGAAACAACCAATCAGAAGACTGCCTTTTTCTGCTTGCATAAGCCTTATTAATGTACATAAAAAATATATAAATACGTGTTGATTTTCGTAATAAAACGATCTGTTGCCAGGCCCTTGTCTTCTGTTGTTACATTTGGTGTCGCTGCCTCCAGAAAAATGAAGATCCCGTGGCCAGCTGCGTTTGAAGAAGGAGACATACGGAGCTTCTTACGTGACTTCGAGGCCGTTGCTGAGCTGGTGGGTGTCAAGGAGCAGGCGGCGAAGGCAGTTGTCCTGGGGACGCTGTTGAGAGGCCGAGCGAAGGCTGCATATGACAGCGTAGACAGGTCAAATGGCACAGCGTCTTGGAAGAAATTGGTTGAACGACTAGTGTCCGAGTTTGACAGCGAAACAGACAGACAGCTAGCAATGCAGCAGTTCCGGTCAATGAAGCTTGGACCTGATGGAGACCCGCTAGTGTTGGCGGTGAAACTGACTAATCTACTTCGACGCGCGCTTCCCACTTTAGATGAAGAATCAGAAGCGCAGTTACTGTCTTCCCAATTCATCGAGAGTGTCCCAGACCACATTTCTCAGCGATTAAAACTGGTTAACGCAACGCAGCCGATGGATATTAGTGAGCTGGCGAAGGTGACCAGACAGCTGCTGAGCACAACGGTAGCCGCTATAGACCAACCAAAACCAAACGAATATGAGCAGAAAATTGAAGCATTGCAGCGGGAAGTGGCGGCGTTAAAGTTGGCTGATAGAAAAGACCGGTGTTTTGAATGCGGTAAGCCGGGACACTGGAGAAGATACTGCCCAGAAAGGCGAAAAAGAAAAAATTTCAGACGGTATAATGCTTGTTCTTTCTTTCGTATGAACCTAGATTTAGTGGGGGCTATTGAGAAAGGGGCTCTGTATTCGAAGTTGCGAGTGAATGATCGAGAAGTAGTATGTTTGATAGATACAGGGGCGGCCGTGTCGTTAATAGATAAGAATTTATGTAAGAGTGTTAGTCCGTGTTCATTGACAGTACAAACAGTAGGCGGGTATGTGTTGCGTATCACGGGTAGATCGAACTGTACGGTCGTTGTT